GCGTTCTGCTTCCAAATCCTTTGCAAAATTTGTACGAGGTTGGAAAACAATCGGCTACGGCAGGTCCTGAAAATGCCTGGCGTATATACGACGCGTACACGAAAGCGGATCGAAAGGTAAAAACATTGAAATCAGATCACCCTTTTAGAGTTACCTTTTCCATCAACAAGTTTGTTTGTTTGTTCGTTCGTTCGTTCGTTCGTTCGTTCGTTCGTTCGTTCGTACGTTCGTTCGTTCGTTCGTTCGTTCGTTCGTTCGTTCGTTCGTTCGTTCGTTCGTTCGTTCGTTCGTTCGTTCGTTCGTTCGTTCGTTCGTTCGTTCGTTCGCTCGTTCGTTCGTTCGTTCGTTCGTTCGTTCGTTCGTTTTAGGAAGTTTCGATATTTTTCTTCGATAAAAGATCGGTCGAGAAGCTATACAAGCCGAAGCGAAAGGAAACCGTCACGGAGATTTTACGAAACGGCGCCCGGCAAATGGAACGATTCTCTCATCCGAAGATACTACAGGTGAGTAGTGTGGCCTTTCCCGCCCTTGCCAGCTAACCGACGCGATAGGAGGATGGCCGCGCAGTATGCGCGCACAATTATCCTCTTTCCGTGTTTTTTCTGTACAGGCATACAAAGTGGAAGAGTGCGCGGATAGTTTGGCGTTCGCCTCAGAGCCAGTTCTGGCTAGCCTCGCCAACGTTTTGGCCTACCAGGAACAACTAGCGAATAATCTCGGCCAAACGTCCCCTAACGTAACTAAACAAACTTCCTCGACTACCAGTCATCACCGTACCTCTTACGCCAAGCAATACGAGTTACTTGACATCGAGATCAAGTATGGATTGTTGCAGGTGAGTCAGCCAATCGGCCAGGGGTGGTGACGGGAGAGCAAGTGAGAGAGAAACGCATGTTATTTTCTCTGTTACTCAGATCACCGAGGCGCTCTTGTTCCTTCACGGACCCCACAAAATTCTTCACAGAAACGTTTGCCCCGCGAGCATTATAATCACCAAGAGAGGCACTTGGAAATTATCAGGGCTGGAGTTTATCGGTGAGTGACGATCATCTCTGACAGCTAATATCTCCGATGGAAATCTCACTCGTCTCTTCTTGCTTTCTTTCGATAGAAAAAACGAACGAGATGCCGATATCGTTGCAACCGTGGACAAATCGTATGCCGAAAATGACGCAGCCAAATCTCGATTATATTGGTAAGCAGCAGCGTGCGGCTGATGCGCAGGTTTTCCAGTACATATCGCTAAACGAAGCTACATACTTTTATTATGCCGTAGCTCCGGAAGTGCAACAAAAGAAAGTTGGAGGGTTTTACAGCGATATGTACAGCTTCGGTATGACGATGTGTGCGATTTTCAATCAAGGACGTCCGTTAATTCAAGCGAATCACAGTTGCTCCGAGTATCTGAAACAACTAGAAAACGTAAGCGACGCGTCACGCATCAAGACTCGTCCTTTTCTTCTCTCTCCCTTTGTCCCTTTTTTCTAACGTTACACTCCGTTTGTCTTCTCTTCCGTTGCCACTGCTGCTGCTGCTGCTTTTGCTTCTCATACGCATAGCTCGAGGAACAAGTCGGTGTGATGCTACCTCTAATTCCGCTGCCGCTTCGAGAAGCTGTTTCTCGACTTTTACACCTTGATCCAGAAAAGAGGCCGACCGTCCAAGTGTTATCCATGATTAAATATTTCCAGTATGTAACGCCGTTCCCATATTTCTTCTTTGTAGTTGAACAACATAGTTGAACTTGAAACATGACCAAACTATTTTTCCTTCTACCCAGTGATCCACCGGTGTTCGCGCTTCAATTTCTCGACGTTAGTAAGATGAAGGACGTGCTGCAGAAGGAGCATTTCTATACGACCACTTTAAAAGGGATACTGCCTTACATACCAAAGGTAAGCCGCCTATTTATACATAGTTTACGAAGACGATACCGTTGCTACACGGATGCGTGTACAGAACCTTTGCGTGTGCAGAAACTTTGGTATCAGCATATTTGGACGTATTTGCAAAACGAATTGGAGAGCCAAGAAATTCAATCGGCTGTGTTGCAGCCGGTTCTGTACATCGTACAAAACAGTACACAAGAGGAGTACGACCAAATCGTGTTTCCGTCGTTGCGGCAAGTATAATATAATACATCATAAATCCAATTCCTTAAATATTATACCAACGTTCTCCTCTGTCTCTCGGGTCTGCTGATGAAATATCGTTGTGTAGCTTGCTTTTCTCGAATCGTCGATCGATTCACGGGACGGTCACGCTGCTGGAAAACTTGCATTTAATACTGAAGAAAACATCGCGGGAATACGTGGAGAGCGAGATTCTTCCGATGTTGTACACGTCCTTTGAAAATTCCACCACTCAAGTCCAGGTACGTAAACAGTTGGAAAGTTGAAAAGAAAGAAAGAAAGAAAGAAAGAAAGGGAGAAAGGAGAAATTGAAAGACAGAATGCTTCTAAAATGAAATAACATGCCAGACCGCAGCGTTTGTAGCTGTATCGAACGTGACGGAATACATCGACGACGAAGCCGTGCGAAATATCGTGCTGCCGAAACTGCTTCAAGCGTTTGAAAAGAATTCGGTAGATTCCCGTGTGTTGATGAACGTGATCCCCTATATTTTAAATCGGCTGGAAAAGCAGAAAATCGTCGACTGTATCTTACCGTTGCTATCCAATGTGAAACTACAAGAACCGGAGATGATCGTTCGTGTCGTACGTGAGTATGCATGCGCTTAATATCTCTATCGGTCTCTCTGTTCGATGGTTGGACGACACGGGATTACGATTCGACTCCGACAGAGATTTACAGATTGATGCTAACGGACAAGAAGTACGGACTCACCGTCAGCTGGATGGCGACTCGAGCGATGCCGTCTCTGCTACCTCAAACAATCAATACAGCACTCAATCTCGAACAATTCGAGATACTTCTCAAGGTATTACAAGATATGCTGAACTACATCGAAAGGTGAGAATCCTTCAAGTTTAAACTAAACGTAGCTTTACACTCTCGCGTCTTCGTCGTTCATTTCGATTCGCCTTGATTTCAATTACAGGAATCAGAGGAATCAATTGACGTTGGACAATTGGTCGCTATCGAGTCCGGAACGATACCGAAGCTTACGGCATCAACGTAGTACGGATAGTATGTGCGTACCAGCCTTCAATATACCGAATTTACGCGTCGAGCAGCGTAAAACATCCTCGGCTGAAGATATGGCTAGAAAGAACAGCATAAGTAAGAATTTAACGCTGATAGGTACACACGCATACACGTATGTACATACGTAGGTACTTATGTATGTACAATACTTGGGTGTGTACCTCGAATCACGGTTCACACCAGCAATTTTTAATCGTTCTTTCGTCTGTTGATTTCCCCCTTGCAGGTCCGATGTCAACTACGGCATCGGCCGAAAACATGGCGAGGAATAACTCGATGACGGGTAAGGCTAACTTGTTCTCTCTCTCTCTCTCTCTCTCTCTCTCTCTCTGTTGTTGAGGTTACCTTAGCTTTTCCTGTCGATTTACACCGTGTACTGCATCGTTGTTCACGACAGCGATGTTCAGATGGTTCTCGTCCTCGAACAACGACAACAGCAATTTCCTGAAAGTGGCCAACACCTTCACGAGTCGACGATTATCGGACAATACTCTGATGACACCGAAGATACGGATAGCACCGTCCTGCGAAAGTTCGCCCGGTGTGACACCTGGCGATGGATTACCGATTCGACGTCACTCAAGCACCGGTCCGCAGGACCGACGAGGATCCAGCATCAATTTATCACCGCCATTGGTATCGTATCCCCTTTCTTTCCGACGTGTAAATCAAACGTACTATAGTTTATTCTTATAGAGGAAGAAAAGAAAAAGGGAAAGATAGAATATTAGAAGTAGTAAGGCAAGGGATGGAATGAGACGGCGAAGGAATATCAACTCGTACATGGTTTGTCGTGACTTGAATAGGGTGGGAATAGCTTACGAGGCCCGAGGCGTCCCTCCGTTTCTTCGACGTCCTCCCAGCAGGGCACCGGGTTGCTGCAGCAGGTTGGCTTCAGCATGGTAAGACAACAACCTCCCATCTGCCTCAACCTCAATGGACCACCACAACCACCACAACCACCAACACTTTCTCCATTACTCCAGCTACCGGGACAGTCTTCCCACTGACCCTCCGTTACAGCGTAAGGATATTCACTAGCTTATCCAACATTGCCGCGCGCCGTTCTTTCTCTTTTTCTTTTCCTTATTAATGCGAACAAGATTTTCCCCGTTCATACTATACATAGTATTATATGTATATAGTATTTTTTTTTCTACACACACGCTATTTCTCTTCCTATCGACGAACAAGCGATAGTAGAAACAAAACGCACAAATACCATATAATCTCTCTCTCTCTCTTTCTCTGGAATTGGAAAGGATAGCGCTTCGTAGTATGTATAAACATAAGTACCTAAGTACTTACCCTGCCTTTATTCTAGGCCTTTATTCTGCCTTTATTCTGCCTTTATTCTCTTTGCATGTTCCCTCTTTTCTCTATCTAATCATCTTTCGATTTTCATCAATTTACATATAGACAAATATGTATACATACATATATTAATCAGGTTTCTACGTATGTAGCTAAGCATTCGCTGCCATGTGCATGTGTATCCGATGATTTTTCAAAGACCAACCAACCAACCAACCAACCAACCAACCAACCAACCAACTAACCGATCAATCGACCAACCAACCAACTAACCGATCAATCGACCAACCAAAGAACCAACCGATCTAGCGACGATACGCCAAATTATTCGTTACATTACTTACATGTCTGATCGGTGGATCGGTTGGTGTGCTCAATTACCGTCGTTTCCCGAGCGTGCAATTTAAACGCTGATTACGTGTAACTGTGCGATCATTTTTCGTTCCATTGCAGCACCAATTCTTCGATAAAGTTTCGATAGGAAACGTGACGAAAGGACATCAAGGAAGGAATGAACGAGAGTAATTTTCAGTTCCCTCTCTTTTATCGACTAGGGAATACTCAGAGCCTAGAATTTATCGAAGAGAATGTTAAAGCGAGTGAGAATGATTGTGATTTCTTCTAAAGTGGCCTAACCTGATTATAATTATATACATACACATAGGTACATACACGTATAGAATATCACCGTCGTCGTCGTCGTCGTCCTCGTTGAATAATTCGACAAAAGTGGAATGATTTTTAAAACGATCGCGTAATATTCGTCGTTGCACGTAGATACTGGTATGACGAAATAAGATACGATGAATTATCGAATCGAAAACGAAAACTCAACGATATATTTATTTGCACTTAAGTAAGTATGTGCGACATTTGTTTGTCTCGCATTTGTGTCGAATTATACATATGTAGATGTACTTATGTATAGCAAGTACTCGATATGATGCACGTGTACCTACTGAAGGTGGTATTCGTCTCGCGCGACTAACTTGCCAATATTGGTAGGTTCGTCGCTTCAAGAAGCCCTTTCCTATTCCCAAATCTTCTTCTGCTTGTACATTGTTCTTCTTGGAAGTAAGAATATCGTGACTGCACGATGTTCGTGCGATGGAAAGTCAATTGTAAGGCGACAATTTTTCGCCAATTCCTTTCATAATCGTAGCATTACTACTCGACCGGACATTACTACTTAACCGTGATTCGCAGTAAGGGAATTCCGCATCTAGTTGTATTCGAATGCACGCGTACGTATCAAATGCTTGTACACTTTGGCGACGTCTCCATAACTCGAGCGTATTTCAACTTTTCTTCACTTCGATAAAGATACAGATATACTAAATACATATTACGATATATTCTTATTACTATACCGACGTTTGTCGTGCGCGCGTGTGCGTGCGTGTGCGTGCATGCGCGAGCATGACGTGTGACAGACGTAAGGAAGTAAGATAGCGCGAAGAGCGTGAGCGTGTGCGTGTATGTTTAAAGAGTAAGAAATCGCAGCAGGCAACGGAAACTGACCGTAGTTCTGGCGAGAATCACGTGGCACTAGGAAACAAAGTGTCCTTAAGGTTCGTGCCAAGGACTATTTTATGTTTGCTCGAACCGCGCGCAGACAATCCTGATTAATCGTGGACAATCGTGGACAATCATCGGATGCGAGTACTCGAATCGACAAACTTCGTTTCATTTCTTATTGTTATTATTATTATTATTACAATCATCATCGTTATTATACAGATCGTCGAGATAGCGAGTTACTCGATTCTTCCACTTGCGATCGGAAGGTTTATTGGAAAATTCCGATCGACCGTCGTACTACGAGCGGAAAATGACAATCATTCCCCCGAAGATAGGGATAAATGAATATCGAAAGCTTCGGGTGAACAATAAATCTTTCAAAGTGTGTACCTGTTGACTGATGACGCAACTTCTACGTGGAAAGAACCCATTTACGATATCGTATTCTCCTTCGACCAAAATTCAATTCGATTTTTTCGTACTTTGATCGGAGGTGTACATGGTTCCTTTTATCGTAAGATAAGGTCGTCGTCGTCGTCTTTATTGTTATCCTCATATCGCATAATTCTATATACATATACGCGTAGACAGGAAAGCGTGAAATCTATCAAGTCGCGCGCTCGATAAATTTCCCATCGAAAATTAGTGTGTACATATTAAGCGTTGAATGAAAGCGGACGTACGTAATTGACATCTCGTTTGCGTACAACCAACATACGACCGAGGTTCGTTTCCGATTAATTAGACCGTTCTTCGATCGTCGTCGGTATTAAATGTGGATATTTCGTGTGTAATACCCTTCTAAGGATATGTTACAATAAAGCACTGTGCTCTTCGATAAAATTCACTAATCGTTCTTCATTTCGCTTGTGTATCGTTATATCGCATAAAAATTACACGTGTTGTAAATACTGGCTGACAATGTAACATTCACGAGTGTTGATCGTGTCACAGTATGTATTTATTTTTCTCTCCAACGTTCTGAAATACCGATCGTGTGAAAAAAACAATCGGTGTTTTTGTTATGCCCTCTATTTGCGATATAAAGCAGTTAATTTAGGAATTTCTATGTACATATGTAAGTACTTAAGTACAATCCAATCATCGAAGATGATAAACTCTGGACAGATTTATTATTATCTAAATATCTGAAATTAGTACAGTTCAAGCAATTGAACATTTATTATAAGTATGAATTAAATATAATAAGAATGACGAGAATAGCATTTGCAAAGAGAGATAAGGAAAATTTTTCAAAGAAAAACTATCGCCATCTCGCGTCTGGTGACGCCAACTACGACGTTTTAACAGGAACAAAATATCAACAGAGGTATTAGACAAGAACCGCGAGAAGGACAGAGGGAGAACGTTTTCTATTGGCTGGCGGATAATGATCATTAATAACTCGATAATTAGAATGATGTTGTGAACTTTTAGAATTGAAGAATCAAGTGTGGACTTTCTTGCATATACTTTTCAGTGCTCTAAACCCTTTCGATAATTAGTTATTAACAATTTTAGTACGCGATGTCGTGAACGATACAGTCACGTACATTTACGATTTCTAATAATTTCATAGCTTTCTACTAAAATTCCATGCAAATAGCTATATGCACCTGAAAGGCAACTCCTTTAGCTACATTCTCGCATCATTGTTATTGACATATTCGGTTTAGTTTAGGAGTTATTAAACATTATGTGGAAGAGGCCCCTCCTACTCTTCGCACTCGTGTATAGTCAAGTGTTATAAACAATTGCTAATATCTAATAAACCATACAACTGACGGCTACCGAACTAATTGGACGATATAAAAAGTACATTATTAATCACTGGTGCCTATTGAAATAACGAAAACGTGATACGCTTGAATACGATATTATGCGATGCTATAATACTCACCCAAAGAATGTTGTATAACTATCAAACCATAAGGGATATGTTAATAGGATTTATATGAGAATACAACCAATGGAGTTACCTTTCAGACGCATATATGTAGGTAGTTGAACAAGAATTTCGTAGTGGGCCATGAAATTATTGATAATTCCGTATCCCTACCGCCACCACCTACGAAAATTGATGATAACTAATTACCTAAAGGGTCTAGTTCATTAAAATCTGTATAAGAAAGTTGCTAATGGTACACTATTAGTTCTTCAATTCTAAAAGTTCACAAAATCATCGTAATTATTTAGTTATCGATAACTTTCTCTGGCCGACTTAATGTCGACCTGGCCGCCATCAAGAGGCGGAACTTAGATATCCGCGGACTAATAGGAAGTGCTTTCTCTCTACCCTTCTCGCACGATATTGCGTTCCTTGTCTAATACCTTTGTTGATATTCTATGTTCCTATTAAAAAGTCGTAATTCGTGTCACCAGCCGCGAGATGGCGCTAGTTTCCCTTTTCAAATTTTCTGTCCTTGTCTCTATTTCTTGTTTTCGCGCCAATACAGGTAGACAAGGATAGTACTATTTAGTGAAATAAGTTAGTCAAGGAAAGAAATAGGGGTAGATTTGGCTGCGTGAACTAACGGGTCGTTACTAGAAATACAGAATGTGAACGGAGGTATTAGACAAGGAACGCACTAGTGTGCGAGAAGGATAGGCTTCTTGTATAGTATATCTGTAGTATATCTCCTCTGTGACAACACGTTATACGTGACGGCCTTGTGATTTTCATTGCCAACTATTTTATAACAACTGTCAAATAACACTTTGTTATTAAGAAGAAACACATTGTGATAGAGTAAGTAATGCATTTCCTTCGTTTGAAGAATATTTACGACAAATTGTGAAGAATATATGTAGCAATATTGACATGTTCGCTACTATCGTTCTGTTGATTCGTGGATATCAATATTTTTAGAATTGTATGTGACGCTGCTAGTGAATGTGTTAACAGTGCGAAATAACTTTGTTTCTTTTTGGTAAGTACAGACAGCTGGTAATCCACATCGAATAATCAAATTTTAAGACATATTTTCATAAATCGGGAAGTAGCTAATAAAAGAGGTTACGCAAATAAATTACTCGGTAATTACTCAAATAAATACCAAGTATATTGTTAAATTTATAAATAATGTGCTAATATTGTTCAGATATATAATATTATAATAATTAAAAGTACACGATAGAAAATAATTTTCCTTCAAATTCCATTATAATTAAGATAATCAATTTTACATTTCGTACAGTTCATAAGTTACACAGGAAATAAATACAAATTTTGTTGTACAGAAATATTTTATTTGGTTATTTAGAAATTGTAGATCTAATGAATTTAAATCACTTTTCTTTTTAGGATATACATATTAACAGATATTTTTCTAGCAGCTGTGAATTAGAAGGTAGAATGACGTCTTTAAGTGAAGATGATCTAGAGAATGAAGAACTTTATGGTATCAGAAACAGTACACTTTTTATAATTGATGCAACACCTCCAATGTTTCAAAATAATCCACAAGAAGGAATCCCATATTTTTTACAATGCATAAGGGTATTCTATTTATTATTAATCTACATTATTATCATCTCCTATTATGCACATTATTATGTATACTACGTTACTATATTTTACCGTCTATTTTCAAATTCAGCTATACAAAGACTTTCTTAAGCAAAAATTGGTTTGGAATAAGCAAGATTGGATTGGTTTAATGTTGTTTGGAACTGATATGCATTCTAAAACCAAACATATATCAATGCTGCAGAAATTAAATCTTGTTTCAAAGAAGAATTTACAAGAAGTAATTGAAATAGGTAACTACTTCGTAGTATTTTGTTGTAAATAGGTAGAAGAGCAAAGCAATTGCTTTACAGAAATAAGGATTACATGTTATGTAAATGTAGAAGAAAGCTATTTTCAGGGATATTAGACAGAAAACATTACTAAATCATATAGAGAAATGTAGTTTATAGTAAACCTTTTGTTAAAGCTTTTTTTACTTACTTTTATAATATTATTCAACCGCATACATAGATGAAGGGAAGAAATGGGAGAGCTACAGGAATACTGCTTCTTCCACTGTTTATCCGTTACACGATGCATTATGGACTGCAGCACGAGCATTCTCTGATAAAAATATTACTATGCCGATAAGAAAAGCAATTCTTTTTACATGTCTGGATAACCCTCCAATGACTGATAATAATGAAAAGTATAGAATAAGAGTAAAAGCAGCAAATTACAGTGACATAAACCTTCAATTATTTGTTGTTGGTTTGAGTGAAAATTGGAATCACGATTTGTTCTATAAAGATTTAGAATTGTTATCCCGAAAAATTGATGTTGATGATTATAAAAGAATATGTTTAAAAGAGTTAGTGGAACAAGTAAAATTGCCATCTAGAAATATGGCGAAATTACCTTGGAGACTTGGAGAGAACGTGAATATAGATGTGTCTCTTCGCAATCTTGCCGTGTAAGAAACAACTTACGTGTTTTTCCTTATATTTACTCGTGTTATATTTACTTGGTTATTTTTATTCTACTTACTATGTAATTCAAATGTTCAGTAAAACACAATACTTAAAAGAGGAGAAGATAAGCAAAGAAACCAGTACTCCTTTGATGTCACGTGCATACCTCACACTGGCCAATAATAACGATAACAAAGTCTGTATTTCAATGATTCCTACTGCTTTTTACAATTTAATAATCTTCAACGTTTTTGTCCTCTGTTACAGGAAACAGGAGAGGATACAGAAAATGAACACGCATCGTCGCCTGTTCTGGAGATGGATATTCAAAAATATCAAACATTTGGTAGGAGAAATATTAATTTTACATCAGCAGAAGTAAGATCGTTAAGTAAAATGGGAGAACCAGGCATTGATTTAATATGTGTAAAACCCATTTCTTATCATCCTCTATACCACTTTGATACACCATATTTTGTTATACCTAACAAGAGCAATCGTAAAGGTAATATAAATTGCACATTAAAAGAATGTATTCCAAACATATATATGTTTTAAAATTATTGTACACTTCCCTTTTCAGATAACAAATTATTATTTAGTGCATTACTCGATAAGTGTGACTCAAAAAATTTAATGGTAATATGTGCAGTTACGATACGAAAGCATTCTTCGCCAAAATTATGCACTATGATACCAAATGCACAAAATGGAGGATTTTATTTATATAAAATACCATTTAGAGGTTTGTTTTTCTAATTTTACAGTACTTAAGTAAGCAGATATGTTACAACTATATGTAGCATATAAACAGACTTAAAAAAAGAGTTGTTCATTCCACTGAAATTTACATGCACAATGTGTTTAGCTAGCTGAAGCACTAAATTGGAGAAGTGATTCCTAAAGTTGCTCTAAGCCAAAAATCAAAAGTGAGAAAATTGCGTTCGAGGCTTCCTTAATTAATTACTAACATTTCAAATCTGCATATGAATTAGAGAATATGTTCAGCCTAGAACAGGCAGCCGTGCGAAGAGTAGGTCATTTGCAAAGCTATTTTAACATATAATTTTCTTCTAGAAAACACTCGAAATCTCAGCGAATATTTGTCAGAACATATATATGACAACAAAGAAAAGAAACTTCCGTTTAATCCAAATGGAATTAAGCTGCTAAAGAAAATAATCGAGAAATTAAGTATCGAATATAATCCAAAATTGTTTTCAAATCCTAAACTACAAGTTCAAATTGAAGCGATCGAAACCTTAGCTTTAGATTCGGAAAAACCTGAAGATAAGGTTGATGATACAAGTACGTTCTATTTACAAATTGTACGTATATAAGTATTACAATTTATCTAAAGCATTTTAACGATACAAGTTTAAATTTGCCTCTAGTTCCAAAAGTTGACGAGATGCGTAAAGTTGTAAACAATTTATTAGATGAATACGATGAAATATTTAAAGAAGAAATAGACAATGTAAGTGATGTACCACCAAAAAAGAAAATTAAAAGGGTTAACAAAGAGGCAGAACCTGCTGTATTGGGAGATGAAGCAAAGATTCGGGAACTTGTGAAAAAGGGCAAAGTACATTAATCAATACATATTACATTGAACAACAATAATTAATCAAAATTTATAATAAATTCATTTTTTTCTCCTAACAGATAGAAACTTCTACTGTATCAGAGTTAAGAACAATTTTAAGAACATTATGTTTAAAAACATCTGGTAAAAAGGATGAATTAATTAATAGAGTTAAAGAACATTATAAATGAAGAATTGAAAATATTCAATAATAAAAAATGATTTATAAATTGTGTTTTCTTTGTGTTGCCTTTTATCACAGACTGAAAGGTAAGTAGACAGAGTAGATCTATCTCACCGAATATATTTGTGCCACGTTTCAGGAGCTTTCGAGTCCCTTACTGTTTTCTTGTCGCTTCCAACATTACTGATTGAGCATAGAATGAGATTAGAACTAGAGGTGAGATAGAGGTCACACGACCCCGGGGTCCTAGTTACCATCATTCTACTGTGATTGTGATCACAGACGAAATACATATAGCGTAGACCAAACAAACATCTTATAGGACTTTTTGTCACACATTCTGAAATACCGACGTCGTCCAAAATCACTGGTTTTGAAGTGCACTCTACGCTCAACAGCGGTCATTTTAAGAAGTGTATCACGCAAACCAACGATATCGGTCGTGTGTAATACATTGTTACTGTGTTGTCAATACATCCTTGATCCGAAAACACAAAGGTGTGTGACTGAATCGATTCCGATTCATCCTAAGATTGGAAATTTTGTCTCGTTCATTATTTAAAATAACAAATGCCAAGTGTTGTTGATTTCAATTCCCACCACTGATAGCGCAGTGATGTAATGCCAGGCCTAATCGATACAGTAGAATGATGGTAACAGTTGGACGAGTGGTCTACCCTATAACTCGTCTGTTATATTAAACCGTAGAGATTGCTGTTGCACCGGGTACACAACGATTTTCTTGGTCCATTTTCTCTCTGCTATCGTTATCGTTATGTGTGTTTCTTACCTTACGTATGAACAAACAAGGTTTCTTTTCTACATGGTAATAAATTACCGAAATTGCGTAACGCAAACCCACTGTACAGAGAGCCAGATCTTAATAGCTGGAGTGACACGTGAACGATGATGATGATATGTATGTAAATGACTGGATAATAAATGGAACTTGAATAAGAACGACCGATGCCACCTATACCACGTGACAATATTAATAAAAATAACAACAAAGTGCGCGCCACTCGCGGCAGGCACAACTGGAGTATATGTATACATACTTACAGAGGGTGATTTTCGCTGGTGACAGTGGAGGGGATAGGGATGATGGAAGCTGGTAGTCCACCACCGAGGAAAATATGACAACGGTGCGCATTTTAGGGATTGATTGGGATAAAACGGATAGAAATGGTGGAAAGTTGGAGGCGGGGAGAAGGGAGGTCAGGCCGCCGATTCGCACAGAAGGTAGCGCGACGTGTAGGTTATGCCTTGGCGCCGGGGCCTGTTCAACGTCGATATTTGCCGAGGGAGAAATTTCGGAAGGTTTGCGTTCTCGCATTCTGGATCGTTGCCCCATCACGGTGAGTGGCCTCCTCTTCACGTATCTTCTTCTAACAATTACATACGTGATCTATTCTATATCGGCATGGATCAGCTGTTGAACGATGACAGACTACCGAAGGCGATTTGCCGCGAATGCGAAAGGAAGCTAGCGGCTACGCACGAGTTTCGCGAACAGTGCAGGAAATCGGAACGCACCTTACGACTACGCTACGGAACTACTGTTGCGAATGCAGCAGCAGATTGGAAAACACGGGTTCGGCTAATTTGGATTAGTAATCGATCGATTGATAAATTTTGTTAATAAGACTGCTTTAGAATTGCGATATTGCAGTGTGCAGAAGTTGAAACGGATAACTGGACGGGTGAAGAAAGGAAGAAGGGGGGGGGGGGATTGGGTGGAAGATCGAAAAGTGGCCGATGACCGAGTGGCAAGTGGAAAATCGTCGAGAATTGGTCGAAAAGACAAGTGTGTTTATGAATCGTCATTGTCAAGGCCGTTGTCGTCGGTACACCAGCCGGTAAAGGAGAGGAACGAGTTGGAGCGAGAGTCTGTCGTTAGCGAAGAGGGCAGCATCAGCATCGGCAGAAGTTGCGCGGAAGAAACGAAAGCGGGAAACGGTGAGACAGAAGTACGACGGCGGTATTACCTGTGCGACGTGTGCAGCAAAACGTTCGCCTCCAAGTCTGGACTAAGATTGCACTTGAAGTCCCACAACGGTGTGAAACCTCATCTCTGTCTGTACTGTGGCAAAGGATTCGTGATTCCAAGTTACGCAAAGAGACACGAGAGAATTCACACGGCGGACAAACGGTTCATTTGCCAGTTTTGTAGCGCAGCATTCACCTCGGCTAATGGTCTAAAGTATCACTTGAGATTGCATACCGGCGAGGCCAATTATCGTTGCGAGGTTTGCGGCAAGTCGTTTTATCGGTACAAATACCTGAAGGAGCACGCGTTCACTCACACAGGGGAGAAGGCGTACGTTTGCAAGAGGTGCGGCTCCTCCTATGGAAATTCTGGCAGCTTGTTCGTTCACGAAAAAGGATGCAAGGCTAAGAGACGAGAGTAACATGTCTACTTACTTAATACAGCGGAGGGAAATAACTTCAAATAGAACTTGATTTTCTTCACCCTTGGTCCTCCTTGGCTCTCCTTTTTCACTCGAACTCGTTGTTCTTGTTTACCTGTTGTAGATCGAAATAAGGATAAAAGCAGCAGGTAGAAGGTGGTAAGCGAGCAAAAATGCTATTCCTTTATTTCGAGGGAACAAATATAATAAGAGTTGTTATCGTAGTATGAGAAAGAGAGAGGGAGTGGGAGGAAGGGTTGGTGGTTCGAGTGTGAAGTAGTCGACGAATTGAAGGAGAAGAGCTAATAATATTCATATATGTACGTAAGTATGTATAATTACAGAGGTAGAATATCGTGATTTGCGTCCGAATTTACGCGATAGCTAACGTAACGACGATTCATCTTAAAATCTTTGGCATCGATGGCAGGGTTATCGCGATCGACAGTTGGAATTTGTGCGTACGGACATTTCCGAGGAAGCGATGGACATCCAGCGATTGGTGTCGGATCGGAACCACGTTAGACCCAATGAGTATTTGCCGTTGAGGTTGGCATGTTGGCACCGACTGAACCACCATCCGCCGTGATAGTTTCTGGCGCAATGAGTCGTGCTAACGTCCATATCTCGGTCTTTGGCGCTGAAAGCCATTCCGTTCTGATAGGAAAGGGCGTCGGTAGCGTTACCGGCGTAGCCCCCGACTCGTAGCGTGTAACCGGTCTCCTCCGATTCGACCGCGAACCAATCGTACTCGGCACGCCACCGCTCCGCGTAAATATCCACCATGTCGATTCGAAGTCGAGTACAATTGTCGCGAGTGAGTTTGTGAAGGATCTGGTTGCCAATCCAATATTCGGTGACCGGAGAACCGAACCCGAGGGAATAATCGTTCCAGGTGCGATCAAAGTCAAGGGTGCCGTCGATACGCCGCGCGACTACAGTCCAACCTTGTCGACAAAAGACCAAGATCGGCCTGGCACCTGCCTCCAACAGCCTGAGCCCATCCTTCTCAGGTAGCTCGCAGTCGCCAGTCAGATTATTCCCGATTGTGTGATAGCGATCCTCGAGTTGCTCTAGTTCGGAAAAGAGGGCGGCGCTGGAGAGTTCCGGGTAGGAAAGTTGGTGAAAATCGGTCGGTGGTGCGTAGTAAGTGGTAGTGACGTTGAAGAGATCAATCGCTTCCTGTTGCCGGTCACTTCTCTCTTGGAGTTTGGACGCGCTGACGCTCAACGCCTGAACGGTGCGCCGTAGATTGTTCAGCTCCTCCCTGGTCAGCGATAGTTCGGCAGCTTTTCGGGCAGCGTTCACGTCCAGCCGAAGCATCTCTCGTTTCGTCGACGAGTTATTCCTCTCGATCGCCTCCTCCAGGCTTCGTAGCGAGCCGATTACCCGTGAACTCACCGATTCCCCGATTTTCCTCGTTAACGTCGTACTCTCACTCACGTTCGACATTTGCCGCGACAATTCGACTTGCGCTCTCTCCAACTTGTTCATTCGTCTGCTCAAACTCGACCATTCCTCGTTCTCGTACGCGGCGGCAGCAGCAGCGGCAGCGGCAACGCGTTTCTCCAACGACGCTCGTCTCTGCGTGCTCAAAGAGATTTTACGCTCTAGGCTCTTTAAACGATCCTCGACAAACCGCGTTCGATGCCCTTCGTTTCGTCTCGCATAGTAGCCGTGCCTTCTCGCTCCTCCTTCACCTCCTCCTCGTCTGAGCACATCGTGTTCCGTACTCTTACGATCACCACTACCCTTGTTGCTATCTGTCGGTACACCATCTCCTTCGATTCCCCGGTGAAACACCGAGTTTGCCGCGATAGCGGAAGATGTCTCGCATCTAAGAGATTTAACCTCGATTTGGACCGAGCTCAACTGAAATAAAAATGTCATAACGTTATCGAACGAACGAATGAACGAACGAACGGGCGGCGGACGGACGTGTTCGAAAGAGGCGATCATGCATCTGTTGCGACAGGATGTGAGGGAGTCGTCAGTCGCAGGTGTTCCCCCACGCGGGAACGCAGAATTCATCGAATTATGTACTATGTTTCTGCAGCTGTCCCGAAACGAGATATAGCACGCAGCATGGCCAAGGGTAACAGATGGAGTGAGTAAAAGGAGAAGCGAGTGTCGGAGAGAGGGAAGGTGAAATCGAGGCAGCTGTGCGCGATCGATCGGCCTATGGAGCAGCAGGTGGACGAAAGGATGCCGATGGGTGGGGGAGAGGAAAGGTATGGGAATGGAAAAGGAAAAAATAACGAGAAAGCTCGGCAAGCGTGTAAGAGGTGGAGGTGGAAAAGAAGGAGTGTTGTGTATCTACCTGACTGGCGACGTCAGCGCAGCTGCGAGAGAGCAGAGTAAAGCGTTCCTTGACCGCTGCGATGTCGACGCGAATCGTTCCGAGGACAGCCTCGATCTTGGCGATTCTACCGCCGAGATTTCGAATGCCTCGGCCGACCGCGGCAACGTCACCTTTCAACAGAGCAAGTTCGCCCTTCATTCGCGATCTCTCGGCCAGCTCTTCGCTCGCGTTTCTCGTACGAAGAACTTCCGCGACTTCTCCTTGGAGCTCGGTCACCGCGCTTCCTAGCCATCTTACGCGCAACCTTTCGTTCTTCGCCTCGTTCCCGTTCCCGCCACGAAGGGAGATCACTTCCTTTCTAAGAACCAACACCAACCATCACGACCAACTCAGATTCAGATTGCACCGCGACCACACCGCCAATCAACCAGTATTTTACTTTGCTTTGCTTTGCTTTGTTTTGCTTTGCTTTGCTTTGTTTTGCTTTATTTCTTTACCTCAGTTGTTTGATTTCGTTTTTAAGAACGAACAACTCCGTGTTTTTCTCGATCGCGCGCTTCAAGCTTCCCTCGAGGGCGTTGTAATCCTGTTGCCGATGATCGAGCAGAGCGTTCACTTGTTCCCGCAACGATCTTATCGCGTCCGTGACGTTTTCTTCGCCGCGAATCTCTTCTTGCGCAACGATCGCTGCGAACGTAGCGCAGCATAACAACAGCCAGGCACCGCTTCTCCCATTGTCCATCGTTGTTCCTTTCCTTTCCTTTCCTTTTCACCTCACCCCACCCCACCTCACCTCACCTTACCTAACTAAACTAACTTAACTTAACCGCGAAGTTGAACGGCGCCGGCTTTCACGAGTACCACTCACGCACGAGCACCGGAAGCTCACTGGCCCAAACTGTCAGCCGCCCTACCACTTTTATATCGTCTTTGCCATAAAAGGTTGGGGGTAGAGACGGTTCAGGGAGCAGGTGTTTGCTCGCCAGAAGGCAACGTTCCATGTCCGTGCATTGTGTCGTCTCGTGGCTGCAAGCTGCGCCCTCGATACCGCTGCTTCTGCTGCTGCTGCTGCTACCGTCATCACCGACCCTTTATCCCCACCACTTTCCCTGCCACCTCTGCCGTACGCCTTCTTCTTCTTCTTTTACTCCTTTCTTCACTGCGTTTCACTGCTTCTTATCTCTCGCTCGAATAATTCTGCGACTCTCTCCTTTCGTCTGGGTTGCCTTCTTTCTCTCTTTACCTATTTTTACGTGAATTAAATACAGCGGGAAAAGTAAGTGAAGCGCCAAAGAAAACTGTCTGTCTGTGCATCACGCGTGTGCATGTGAGGTGAATCGTTTATTTAAAACTCATTGTACCACCCTGGTAGGATCTAAAATTTTATGATTCTACTGGAAAAGTACACGAGCGAACAAGCAGCTCGATTATATTACTCAATTAATCGCGACATTACGGTATTACGTGGTAAAATCAACATCCCTCACAATCATCCATCTACGTACGTTGCTTTTCCGATCGCGTGCTAATCGGAACACGAGCGTCGTTGCAATTGATCGATAACAACTTCTCTTCGCAACGAAAACATGATACAACGTGAACTGGCACGTGAATTTCGATAAAATTTGCATCGTTGGCTTCTATCTCGTCTTGCTACCTTATCTAGAGTAAAATTCTATGTACAGAAATGATAAAAATACATTCTTGAAAATCTCACGATCTCTACGCTAACTAACACGTGATAGATTAAATGAAATGGCACTCTCTTTCGTTTTCGTTACAAATCGCATATAGACACGCGTATACACGGCGCAGAACCGAACAAATAGAACCCTTCAACTCCACAACGATTCAACTCGTGTTCAATCGAGTGGAAGGACAAGGTAAAGACTCGATGTGTAATATGTTTACGTGTAATTTGTACGGAAAAATTTTCATCTGGTCTAGTTCTCTCTCTCTCCCTCTCTCTCTCTCATTCTCTCG